CAAGCCACATGCGGTCTTTGGCCCTTGAGTGTGGCTCTTCCACAAAATACCACATGCAGGCGCACACGTACAGTGCGACTGAAACTTCGTGGCCCATGCCCTGAAGTCGGTTTTCGGCTCTCAAAAGAAATTTCAATCATTGTACTGTTGATATTTGGCTCTGTTGACTAATATGTTTGCTGACCACTGCCCTCAGAGAAGCCACTAAGCAGCAGACATCAGTAGGTAGGCTGAGCAAAAGGTTCTGCAGCTGTATTTGGACGCCCAGAGGGGACCCAAACAGGACTTCCCGGACAGAGCAGATCAGACAAATAGAAAAAAGTCCCAGGGGTCCGTATACTACCAGTCTGCCACATTGGCCTTAGCACCCATTTTTGTCCAGCCTGAAAGCTAAGAAAGGTGTTGGGTTGTGTTTTTTCTGCATATAAAATAATTGAAAAAATGAATATTTTGTGATTGGTTAAAATTATATAAAACTAAAATTTCAGTGTCAAAAAGTCGATGGGAACACGGCCACCAGGCCCATTTGTTTACATGTGGTCCTGGGCTGCTTTGGCGCGGTAATAGCACAGATCCAGTGGCCTACAAAGCCCTTTACTTACTGGTCCTTTAAGAAAATGGTTGCCCACTCCTCTAAGGGAGCTAAAAAAAAGACCTTACTATGTGATGAATCAATAGTGTGTGTGTTTGGGGGCGGGGCGGGGGGGGGGTTGGGGGGGAAATGAAAGAGATACTCTGGTTTCAAGGGCAGATAAACTTCCCCTCCTGTCAAGGGCAGGGCCCTTGCCACCTTGCCTTTTAGCTTAGGGGTCAGTTTGCTCTTGTTTTATGAGTAGCCCTCACACGGCCTCACACCCTTTCCCCAGTTTATTTTCCTCCACTCAAAGTTCTGTGACACTACACTGTGTCATCAAGAGACTCACTCACGGCCCGGAGGGTACAACACACGTATTCTAACCCCAACACGAGCCCATCCCTCGGAGGTTCTTTCCCAGGCCACTCGCAGTTCTCCGGCGGCGCTCCCTGAGAAAACGCTCTCTTCTGTCCACTGCCCTTCCCCCTCCAGCTGATGTGGCTGATGGGTCCCCTAAAATCTGGTGGCCATGGCTCATGCATACTTTATTTGGACATTCCTCTCTCAAATCCTTTCTGTCTTCAGACCTCAGCCCTGGAACACCCTCCTATAGAGTTGTTTCCTGGGTCAGGCAGCCCCAAATTCACATCATGATGTGTGCTGGCTAGTTTAAGGTTAACACAAAACTACTCTTGTTGACAAACTTAGACTAGGTACTTTCCTGAGGCCTTTTTACTTCCTGTAAAGGTGCCTCTGGCCCTTTAAAGCCTACACCTCTTTTATCACCTGTGACAGATAAGCCCCTTCTTCACTAACCTCCCCACCCACCTGATTCCCAGCGCTAGGGATGGTGGAATTGAGCATGTTTTCAGGAGAATCCCAAACTACAACTCTCTAGTCTAGCATGATTCTCCATGGTTCAAGAGAGGATAGGGCTCCCTGGTTCATTTACTTCAGTGGGGGAGGTTGTTAAAATGAAGTTCTCTATTTGTTAAAACTGGGGAGAAGAGGAAAGCAAGAAATGAAAGAGGATCTGGTTAGAGAGAATCTGAAGGGTTGCTTCTGCTTGTGTTTGGTTCTCTCTCTGCCCTCCCACTCCCCTCAAGGTCTATCTAGATGCTCCAACCAAGCTTCTGAGAGAGGTGACTTCCAGCTGAGACATTCATGCCTAGGTCAGCAACTGAGTTCCTGTGCTCTTCTTCACTTCTAGTTCCCAGAGAGGTTGAATCTGGACCGTGGAGATGACAAGGACCCAAAAAAAGCCTCCACAGGTCCAGCCTTGCAGCTGTGAGTGCACCTGATCGCAGGGCAGCTGTGCGCACGGGCTTGCAGGGAGGCCCACTGGGGTTGGGGAAGTCTAAGGAGCTAAATTTAGTCTGAAGGCCACAGCTTAATTGGGTAGGTAATTACCCTGGGGAAGCTGGGAGGGGGAGGGGAGAATACTGACCCAGCTGAACTAACACCTCACAGGTTCACCCCTAAGTACACTGACATAGAACCACAGTTCCCTTGCAAACCCTCAGAAAAGAGGAGTCCTCAGCATTTGCTGGCCTTCTACATGCTTCATCTCTCTCATGCATATCAAGGGGTTGTTCCTATCACACACACACACACACACACACACACACACACACACCTCACCTTAGTTCTCACAGGTGCACTTCCTCTGAGTCCTTCCCTAAATTCCCCTCAGTACACTAGACATCAGCCCCCTCCACACCTTCCTGCCTTTAGGTTACAGCTTCCTCTCCCCCACATCCTTTCAGAGGGTGTCAGAGGTCAACAATGACGTGTCTGGCCTGGCTAGTGTTGCTTAGTGTTTGAGTTTTGATGTATGAACCCAGAAGTTACAGGTTCCATTCTGGTAAGGTCGCAAAACCCAGGTTGTGGGCTTAATCCCCAATAGAGAGCATGCTAGAGGCAGCCCATGTTTCTCTGTCTATCCCTCCTCTTTCTCTCTTCCCAAATCAATAAAAACATTTTAAAAACAAGGTATCTGACCACACTACTCCCCTCAGTGGAGCCAGGAAAAGGAGTTGCTTGGGGTCAGGTTCCCCTTCCTGAAAACTTCCATACTGACCCTATACTGACCTCAGTCACCAGAGGGAAAGAATCCTTCCGGGACCTCAGAGAATCCTAGCTTTAAAATGAGGGGGGGAAGGGGCGACCCCAGAGGAAAGCCCACTCCTGAGAAGTTAGGGGCAGCAGGCCAAGAGGAAGCTGCTCAAAGGAGGTACTGAAGCTGGGGGGAGCCGTGAGAGGGGATGTGGCTGCTTTCCCACCTGTGATTGGTTCGCTCAGGCTAAACCTGCCCAGCAACAGCCTGAGAGGCCCTACCAACCAGAGAGGGAGAACTTCAGGGAAGTCAGCTGAGCTGGGGCCACCGCCCAGCCGGCTTCCAGGAATCGCTGGGAGGGCCCCAAGCTACTCACCACTACCCCTCCCTAATCTGAGGGCTCCACCTTCTGTATCTGCTGGGCGGGTCGGTTCTCTCGCTTCCCTGGTCCCGCAGGTCTTTGATCCCCTTACAGGTTCACCAGAGAGGAACAAATCTCTTTAGTGCTCCTGTGGAGGCTGAGCAGAGCCTTCCCGGCTGGCGTTTCCTCAGACCCCCTTTCCTCCCTCATCCCTTGTCCAGGGCTAAACTCAGTTTTGTTTCCCTTTTCCTCCTCGCCCTTTTGCCTCCTTCCTCACCCACGTCCAAAGTCTTCCTTCTCGGCCACTTCCAGCCCAGGGAGAGCCCAAGTCCCAAGGCAACTGTGATGTGCGTGTCAGTGTGCTCGGGGAAGCGGGAGCACTGAGCCCAGCTGCTTCTGCAGGCCTGTATCAGTGGTCCTCCGCCAGACTGCGGAGCTGCAGAGGAGGGTGGCTGGGTGGAGGGATGCTTCCAGAAGTGGAGATCTGGACTCTGCCCTCAGATTGGGGTCAGGGGTTAGGCTTCCTGCTCTCACACCACCTCCAGCAAGCTATTTACCTTGAGAGATTAAAAGGGGGGGGGGGGAGGCAGGAGGGCGGGGACTAGGGTGAGACATCTCTGAAAAATGTGGCTCTGGCAGGACATCCAGTTCTGCCTAGAGCCAGGCCAGGCTCCACCTCCTCCAGCCATTTATTTCTGCTGAGGGAAGGGGGGAGAGGGGCCCACGGAAATCACCCCCACACACACACACATACACACCCTATGAAAAGCAATAAACCAACGGCTTCATAGGAAATGGGTAATAACAGAAAGGATGGGGGAGGCTGGAAGTCAGGGCCAAAGAGAACAGGAAAAGAGACCCTCGAAAAACTGGCTGCTATTTCAGCTCAGCCCCAAATTGAAAGTAGTGCTATTAGAGTCCAAGAGACTTTACAGCAAGACCCAGCCTACCCAGAAACTCACCGCAGACCCGAGCTCCCAACTCCAAACCTAAACTGGGAGAAGTGATGACCTCTAGTGGCCAATGACCAATCTGCAGGGGCTGTGGCTGGCCAGGATTTTAGCCCCTGGGACCCGGGCTTCTGATCTCAGGTAATTGGGGCCCTCACACATGAGCCTTTCTGGGCCCAGATTCTCTCCACCTGGGCTCTTCCGGTCCCCCACACATGGCTGAGTGCTGCTTCCTCTTCTCACCCTCCATTCTGACCGGACACTGCCTGTGTAGGTGGCCAGTATGGCTGGGTTTCCATGAAGACAATAAAGAGCCTGTTTCTCATTTGTCATAATCTTCTTTAATAAAAAATAAATTAGTTCTGGGGTGGGGACCATTTCAGGAGGTGGGAAACAAGAGCAGGGGCTAGGTTGCCTCTTTCTAACCTTTCTCTTTCCATCCTCTGCCCCACTGGTCCCGATTCTGGGACGGTAGTCACGTTTCCTGGGGTAAGACAAGCTTGGCAGTGGCTGGCCCCCACCCCTCGCTAATTGTGAGGGGTGGGATAGAGAGGCTAGGTAAGGGAAGAAGCGGTCTGAGCACAAAAGGGTGGTTTAGGAGAGTGAGGCCTGACCATGAGAACTGAAGGTTAGGGCACCAAGTTGGAATTGATTGTGGGCGGGCAGTCATTAAGCAGCTCCGATTACTAAGGAGCTGCACACTTGGCTTTCCTCTCAGCCTAGAAAAGTCTCAGGGAATCTGCCATCATCCTCTCCCCCTTCCTTCACAGTCTAACTTCTTTGTGAGAAATGACACACACTTGTGAGTGTGCACACGCCCATGCAGGTCCAGATACACATTTGGGGACATGTGTGCACACACACCATCCTCACCACCACACAGACCCAACCACACGTCTGATCGTCACTGTCGGTCTTCTTGCCTCCTTCAACCACCCTGGGGGGCATCCCTGGTGAGACCAGGACAAAGTGGGGAACCAGAGGGTGCAAAGCGAGCCGATTGGTAGGTGACGGGTGGTGGCACGAGAAACCATGAGGAGCGGTTCTCCCGGACCCGTTTCAGGCGGGTTCCGGGGGAGACCGCTCTGGGGGGGACCGCTCCAGGGCATGGGCACAAGAGCGGCAGCAGGTGGCTGTGTAGTAGGGATAGACGCAGAGCCGGGCCTGGACCACCAGGGGGCAATGTGGAGAGCTGTCCTTGCACCGGTCATCTGGGGAAAGAGGCCAGTGGGCACAAGGTCCATCCCTCTGGAGGAGTGTTGCCCTCTTTGCTGGTCCTCATTCCCACCCACACCTCCGCTCACTCCATCCTCCTGGGGGGCAAGGGGGACAGGGGTAATCACCAGGGCGCTGGCTGCAGGGCTGGCTGTTACAGGGCCGTTTCCGGGAGGGCCGCAGATGAGCCGGGCAGCGCACGCTGAGCGTCTGGTTGGCAGTCAGGCACTGGACCTCCCTCGTCTGCACACCACCCTGGCAGGAGCGAGAACACTGGGGAGCCCCCAGCTACCACGTCAAACCTTTGCCCCAGGCTCCTCCTGAACCCAAACCACCTCCTCCTCCTCCTCCTCCTCTGAAAGGAGGCTGTGAGCCAGGTTGTCCTGGAACATGATGGCATCCCACATGGAGAGGGCCCATCTGCTTTTCAGGTGCACAGGAGGTGGGACAGTGTTAAACTGCAGCGGGCCTTGTCTTGGGCCCGGATGCCGGGCTTAGTGAGAGGAGCCTCCCCTTCCACGCTGAGCGGGGCACGGGAGGGAGCCAGGCACTCACCGGACTCCAAGGTGTAGAGAACCACCGGTCCTGGCAGTCCTGCCCCTGGCAGGGCTGCAGGGCAGGGGGCCTGGGCAGGTGGGAGCAGTTGCTAGGAGGGGTCACGTTGAACTCGGTCCCCAGTTTGGACACACAGATGACATCGCGACGCTGTGTGCCTGAGCCACAATCTGAGGAGCACTGATGGAGAGGGAGCGTTGGACATACAAGGGGAAGTGAGAAGAGGACTCACTTCCAACTGTCCACAGGGAATCCGCCGACGGGCACCCCCTACCCCCAGGCTTCCAGCTCACCTCAGCCCAGGGCCCCGTGTACCAGCGCCACGTCCTCTCACAGGGACCCAGGCTGCAGGCACGCATGTCCGGGGGGCGGCTTCCCGGGGCACAGCTCTGCTCACTGGTTCCCACGCCGGCTTCCTCCTGGCCTGCCCCACGGACCTCCCCACTCCCGAGGCAGACCACAGAGCGCCGCTGGATGCCAGTCCCACACTCGGCCGAGCACTGGAGAAGCAGAGCAGAGGGGGATGCTAGTGATGAAGAGGGGAAGAGGTAGGGGCTGAGAGGACTGGTGTGTTCTGGACCCAGATCCTGGGAGTTAGGGGATGTCCCAAGGGTACCAGCCAGAAAAGGGGAACCTGTGCTGGAAGTTTTGTTCATAGTGGAAATGTTTCTCACTTATCTCCATGTTCCCAGCATCAGCAGTGTCTGGCACACGGTAGGTAGGTGCTTGCTCAGTAAATGTTTATATATAAATTGATTTCAGAGAGGAAGGAAGAGGGAGAAAGAGAAGCATCAATGATGATAATCATTGATTAGCTGCCTCCTGCACATCCCCTACTGGGGCCTGAGCCCCCAACCCAGGCATGTGCCCTGACCGGGAATTGAATCATAACCTCCTTGGTGCATAGGTGGAAGCTCAACCACTGAGCCGCACTGGCCAGGCAGTAAATGCTTATTGAACTGTGTTGGGTAGTCTCTAAGAGGCTGTGCTGGGCGTGGGACCCACCTTGGAGCTCCAGTCGCTGTGGAACCAGGCCATCGTGCAGGGCCCCATGTTACAGGCCTCTCTGCTGGGGGGCCGCGGGGGTCCCGACGCGCACTCCCGGTCGCTCACTTCGTCGCCATTGTTCCCGACGCAGCGCACCTGCCGGCTCCTCTGGCCGCGCCCGCAGCGCACAGAACACTGCGGGGATGAGGGGGTCCGAGGGCTGGGCCTGGCTTCCTCACCAGCCTCCAGCTCTGGGGCTTTTTTTTTTTTTAATTACATTCTTTATTGTTGAAAGTATTACATATGCAGCTCTGTGGCTTTCGAACAAGGCTCTCTGCCTTTGACTCCTGGCTCAGTCGGTACATGGCTTAGTGGGGTGAGCCTGGGACGCTGGGCCCAACCCCAGACTCAGCCTCTCATCTGACTTACAGATTGGGGTTCCATGAGAGATCTTGTTTGTAAAAACGTTTCTGCTGGTTAAAAGTAAGTTGGAAAACCACGGCTCTCGCTCACGGGACCCACGCCCATCGGACCCTCCCCCTCGGTCCCACTCACCTGGCTCCAGGGGGAGCGGACCTCCCAGTGGCCACAGAGGCGCAGCTGGCAGGGCTGGGTGATGTTGGGCCGGGGGAGGTGCCCACAGCGCTCGGGAGGCACCGAGGAGCCACCGCCCCCAAACTCCTGCCGGCAGCGCAGCTGGCGGTGCTGGGTGCCAGGCCCACAGGAGCGGCTGCAGGACGTCCACTCTCCGGCCTCCCAGCTGTGGTCGTGCGCGGGGCGGGGAAGAGACAGAGCCACGGGGGCAAAAGAGAAGATAGATGTGTGGGGGCTGCCATGTGGGGGGGGCCCTCAGAGGGGAGTGGGCATGCTTAGCGTTGGAGCCTGGGTTCTCCTTGCTGCCTATGGAATGCCAGCCTTGCTAACCGGACACTGTCTCTGTGGCCGGGAGGTTCCTCTGCCCGCAGGGTCCAGGTAAGGCCTGGGCGGCGAGGATGTGTCTGCCCGGAGCAGCTATGGTGTTCCCCGGATGTGAGCCTCCCTGTGGGTCATACTCACTATGGGGGGCACGGGGGGCCGTGGCAGGGCTCCGAGGAGACTGGGGGTCTGGTGCCCACAGCACAGCTGCGCTCATCCAGTTCCTCTCCGGACTCGCGAGAAACGCAGAGGAAGATGGGGCTCCACACGCCTGGAGGGGTGAGAGGGAAGCCAGAGGGGTGGGACGGCTCCAGTGTCAGTGGGGTCCTGGGTTTGGCACAGGGTCGGCGAGGTGTGGCCCCAGGCGAGGGACCTAGGGTCTGCAATCAGGAGTGCCAAGGTGGGGACCTGGGCTGGGGGAGTCAGGAGTACAGGCTGGTGTGTGACCTCACCTTTCCCACAGGATGCTGAGCACTCGGAGTGTCCCACTCGTTTCCAGAATCCGGTTGGAGACCCCAGGGGTGTCCTGGGATGAGGCGGGGCAGGCATCTGGGGGATCCGCACCTGACGCTGGAGGGTGCCGGGGGTCCGGGTGGGGCGGGGCGCGGAAGCATGTGGGGGCTCAATCATTAAAATCTCTGCAGGGAGAGCGGAGTAGGCTAAGCAGGTGCTCCCACTGCCGGGAGCTCCCTCTCCCCTCCTCCTCCCTCCAGGTCTCGGGACCAGCCTCTCACCAGGCTGGAGCTGGGGGACCAGCCTCTCCCCAGGCTGGAGCTGGGGGACCAGCCTCTCCCCAGGCTGGAGCTGGGGGACCAGCCTCTCCCCAGGCTGCAGCTGGGGGACCAGCCTCTCCCCAGGCTGCAGCTGGGGGACATGGGGCTCTGCAGCGGGGCTCTCCAGGCTCGGAGGAGGAGAGGAGATGACATACTGATAAAACACGCCCGGGTTTTCCTCCTGGAAGATCATCTGGGAGAGAAAGAGAGGATAGTGAATGTTTGGGGCGGCGAGGGTCCCATACCACCTGCCTCCCCCCACCTCCCCCCCAGCACCGTCTCCCAGGCCCCGCTCACGTAGACGTCCACGGGCTCTGCGGTGGGGCCCTCGGCGGACAGGCTCTCGCCTGCGCCCTCCTCCCGGGGAGGACGGTTGTACTGGAAGACAGTGCCCCCCGCCGCGTAGGACCCGGGGGGGTCCACGGCCCAGTTCCCATTGATGATGGACCGGCCGCCAGGGCCTCGAAGTGCTGCAGGGGCGGCCAGGACGCAGCAGGTGAGTCCGCTGTCCTGTCTCTCCGCCTCCTAACCATTCAGATCCCCCGTCCCCTGCTCCCCCGGCTCCCTCCCTCCTCCCCGCGGGGCTGTGGAGGGCAGAGCCAGGAGCCGGGAGCCCAGGGCGCTCACCCAGGTAGTTGGAGCTGGGCCGGAGCTGGGCGATCTGGAGCCGGGAGGCTCCGGCCGGAATGCGCAGGATCTTCTGATAACCCAGAGGGCCCCCGCGGTCGGTGAGGTTCCCCGAGACGAGGTGACAGGTAGAATCATCACCCCCACAGACCCCACAGCCGTCCGGACGCCTGCCGGAGCCGAGGATCCCGTCACAGCCGGGGCTCTGAGGGAAGGGGAGTGAGACACCCGGCCGCCACCTCACCCCCAGCCCGGTGCCCCCCGGGCCCATCCCACCCTCCCTGCACCGGATCTTGGCACCGAGTGAGAATGTTTCTCTCTCGGCCCCACCAGCCTCAGGAAGCCCGAGGTGCCTGAGGGGAGCCGTCTCGGCCCACCTCCTGGCTCTGTGGGCCCAGCGTGGCGGGTGAGAGCTGCCCTGCACCCCAGCCTGCCCCGTGGTGGTGGCGACGATAAACGAGGAGACCCGTGTGTGTGCACAGGGCCCCATCCTTCCTCACCAGGCAGCGCCCCGCCACACACATGTCTAGGGCGCCTGGCTGACACAGGGTCCCGTCCTGGACCTTCTCGGTGTGACGGACATAGAAGCGGAAGCCGCGGGGACGGCAGTTGAGCTCGCAGCGCTGGGATCCCTGGACTGAGAGACAGGGTGGGTGGGTGGGTGGGTGGGTGGTTAGCTGGCGTCCCCCGCGGGAGGCTGGCTGGGAAAGGGCCCGGGGTCCTGACAGAAGCTTGGCTTCTGTTAGCTACTGGACATCTGGAGGTCGCCTAGGACACCGTGGATGAAGAGAACAATGACAGTTCTGTGCTCTGGAAAGGTCGTGTGAGGGTCGCTTAGAAGTTGTGTCGGGTCAATTGAGGTCACCGAGACTGAGACCAGGGTGGGGAAAGAGGAGAGATACTTGAAACCCTCGATCGCGTGAGCTCAGAGCTCCTGAGGGGCTATCTCGGTGTCACGCCAACAGGCCCCCACATCGAGCGGATGGTGACTTGGGAGCTAGTGATATAGCCCCACCCAGGATGCTGGCACACGGCCACCCCTGTCCCTCCCGGACAGGGTCCCGCCCACTGTGTCTACTCCAGAGGAAACCAGCCAACGGGCACCCCCTGACGCCTCCTCTCCCCGCCTGACCCCTCTACCGACCACCCCTCAACCTGACCCCGTCTGAGACCCTCCCCCTTTCCCGGCCCCGAGCTGTTCCTTCACCTCAGCCCTGGGAAACAGGAAGAAAATGGGACCAAGTAGAAACACAAGGGCCGACAGAGGAGAAAAAGAGGGGTTAGGTGTCACTTTCCCCATCAGCCCCCATTCTGAAGCCCCCTCCTGTCCCCCCTCTCCCCCTCTTCCCTGTCCGGGGTGGTCTGGGAACCTCACCTTCCGTGAAGGGTTCCCACTGGTACAGCTGGCCCATGAACTCCTGGGAGTCAAAGGCTGCACACTGCAGGGCCCGGGGGTCTGGATGCTCAGGGGGGCAGGGCTGAGGTGGGGGGATACAGAGGAGTCAAAGCTGGGGAGGAAAACGGGGGTGTGGGTCAGGGCTGGGTTTGGGGGGTGGAGGGGAGGAAGTCGGGTCTATGGAGGGGCTCCAAGGCCCTTACCCTGAGGAGGTCAAATGGAAGGCCCCTCTCCCTCAGGTCCGGGTCTGACAAGCTGAGGACCCAGACGCAGGGTCAGGGAAGCAGAAATGGAGAAGGGGTGTGGGTCCAAGGAAGAACTCACCGCTTTGCTGCAGGCTCTCAGCTGCTCACTCTCCCCAGCACATCTTGGGTCGGGGCTACTGGGAGCAAAGAGGCTCCACTGGGAGCTGGAGTGAGGGCCATCCCTCAGCAGAGGCAACCAGCCATCCTGGTAGCGAGGGGCAGACTCTGCGGGGGGCCTGTGGCGGTTCCCCCCAGATCTCCAGTGCTCCCGGCTCTGCTGGCCTCGGCCCCAGCCCCGAGGGACAGAGAGGAAAGGATTAGGGTGTCTCTCTGCCACCTGGGGACTGGCCCGGCCCTGGGAACTTGGCATTCTTGGCTTTGGGGACACGTGGAAGGAGCCACTTCCTCGTGGGGAGGGGGTGAGCGAGGGGGGCTCTTGGCCCGAGGCCTGAGCCCTGGGAGGACGCCTGGTTCTCGAAGGCACCGCTGTCCGGGCGGCCTCGGGGCCTGGGGAGTCCGCAGGGGGGGACGGAGTGTGGGCAGAGGGTTGCACAGGAGAGGAATGAGTTGGAGGCGTGTGGTTTGCGGAGGATGGCTCTGCCCCTGGAGTGAGGGGTGGGAGAAGCGCTGAGGCCTGGGAGAGCTCAGATCTGCGAGGTCTCTGCCGGTGGTGCCTGCGGTTCCGATGGAGTGGCAGAGCAAAGGGCACTCTGCCGTAGCCAAACATTCCTGGCTTGATGGGGTCTCGGACCCGGGACCTGAGAAGGTGTTGCAGACATAGGGTCAGGGCTCTGGTCGTCGGTTACCCTGCCTTCCCTGCCCCCTCTACTTCCTGGCACCAGAGATAAGCCCTGCTCCAGCCCTTAGTCCTTCCTCCCTGTTCCTTTACTCTAAGCCCCAGCCCTCCCTCCCTCAAAGCCCCGCCCTCACCTGGCCCCTGGCATCTCCTGGGCCTCCTCTCTCCCTAACTGGGAAGCAGGACCTCGAAGTGGGCCGCCTCTTCCTCGAGGCTGTGGCCTGTACAGGGGGAGAGTTTCTTGGGGGCTGGGGGGCCTGGGGCCCTGGCTTCGGGGGAGCAGGATTTCTGGGTTCCTTGGGGGCCGGGATGGGAAGGGGGGGCCCTGGTGGAGTTGGGCCGTAGGGAGCTGACAGGTCCGCCTCCTGTGTTGCACCCCGACCCCACATGGCTGGGAGCAAGGGGCCCACTGGTGCCAAGGACCCCAGACGCCCTCGGGGCCCTGGCCTTCCTCGGGGGGTGCTTGAAGAGCGTGTCCAGACAACACCTGTGTAGACAAAAAGGCCGGACAAAAATAGAAGGATTTTAGAGGGAACCATACAGTGAGGCTCTAGTCCTATGCCCAAGGCTCAGGGAGGCAGTTACCGGCCCAGAGCTGCATTCAGTAGCACAGGTGTTAACTGGAGAGGAGCTAGGAGCTCGGGAGACGGTGGGGGGCCGGGTGGGGGGGGTGGGGGGGGCGGAGAACGGACCGGGTTCTTCAGAGGCTTTGGAAAATGGAGGCGTGACCTGGAGCAGTGGGGGTGGGAGGTCAGGGCAGAGACAAGCATCACAGCCTCCGGTCCCTGGCTCACCTCCTGATCCAGGCAGAGCTGAGGGAGGCTCAGAAGCAGCATCAGACCAAACGGGGGCCTGCAAACCAAAGGCGGAGCGGGGACATGGGATGGGACCGGAGCTGGTCTTGCAACACTGCCCCTCTCCCCCAGCAGGCTCCCCACATCCTGAAGCAGATTTCTCAGAAAGCAGAAGTTACTCATCCCTTTCCCCCCCCCATCCCCCCCTCCCAGTCTTCTCCTTTCCCTCCCTTCCAGGGACCCAGCCGTGCCTCCGCGCCCCCCCCCCCCTTCTTACCTGCCTGCCCACTTCTCCATCACTCCTCCTGGCTGGGCGAAGGAGGAGGGGGCCGGAAGTAAACACTCTACTCAGTCATCTGGACGCAGAGGGGGTGCTCTCTGCAGGGACAGAAGCCTGGCGGTTACTCCAGAAAGCCTGGGGTTGAGAGGGATGACTCCGCAGAAGGTCATCTCGAAGTGAGGATGTGGGTGGGGGGAGGCGTGATCCTCAGGGTGAGCGTGAGAAGGCGTGCGCCCTGGTCCAGCGGCCGAGGCCAGAGGGTGGAGGGCTCAGCCGCAGCCTCCGCCCCCAGCCCCGCAGGACCGTCCTGGCTCCTCCCCGCCCCAGCCAGGAGCTGTTCCTAGGCCAGCTCAGGCCCAGGCATCTTTCTTAGGATGGCCTTCCTTTGGCCCCCACTCCTGCCTCCTGGAGGCCCTGTGGGGGGAGAGGGGCTCTGATGAGGACCTGCCAGACGCCCCCTAGAGGAGTGGACAAAAAAACAACCACCTTGGGCTTTCTGCTTCCAACCCGCCTCCCAGTCTTCTCCCTTCTCAGCTAAGCTGCTTCTGAAACACTCGGGCACTTGTCTGCCCGCCTTAAACTAAGTGGGATCAACTAAGAGGGCTGATGGCTTAATCTCTCGAGAAGCAGGTGATTTTCCCATTTCCATGTAACCCCCCTGTAGGGGCCAGCGGCCAGCTCTGGTTCAATGAGAGCTTATTGTGGGGGAGACAGTGATGGGCTGGGGGAACCCGGGAAGGAAAGATGCAGCTATAGCTGCTGTCACTCCCCAGTCACAGGCCTGCCGTCCCCAAGCCCCGGAGTCCGTCCCGAAGTCAAGCTCGGATCAATCCGGAAAGTGGCGCTTGCAACCCTCCCCGGACTTTCCTATGGCTCCCCCAGCCCCTCCCTGTTCAGTACCAGCCCTTCCCACCCCCACTCTTCATCCCTCCCTTAGTTATGCTTTCCAGGAAAAAAAAAAAAATGTTTCTGTTGGATCTGAAAGGCACCCGGGAAAGGAGTCCAAGGAGCCAGTGCCGAGGTGGGCCAGCTCGGGGGCCGGGGATGACAGCGGGAAGGGCAGGAATGTGCTTGGGGTTAGCAACATCCAGCCCTGCCCTCCCCCAGACCCCAGGGCTTGGGAATTTGAGGGCAGGGTCACCGCGGTTGAGCCTGACCTGCAGGGTCACCCCAGCTGCCTGGGGCTGGGGAGGGGGTTGCTGCTGGCTGGGCTGACCACTGAGGTCAGGGACTCCACCCCGATGGAGAGGGCAGGAGGTGGCGGTTCCAGAGAAGGGCCAAAGCTCCACCCAAACCTTCCACGCTGCCTGACGCAGCTACTTGAGGTTGGCGGGGAAGGAGAGCTGAGGGGTGATGGTCACCGTCCGTCCCTCCTCTGCTTCGGGGTCCCCTTTCCTCTCCTCCTCTGACTCTGCTTCTCTCTGCTACCCCAGCTCTGCGTCTTGTCGTCTCTCCCGTGGATCTACCCAGCACACACAATCCTGTTCTGAGCTGGGCTTGGCTTTGGCAGTTCCCTGGAGAAGTGAGGGGTGGAGGGTGGGGGTGACGTGAGCTCCTGGGGCCCTCGCCAGGCCTGGCTCCCTCTCTGGAAAAGCCCCACCCAGCCCCCCTGCACAGCCGGGCAGGGGGCCCACGGCCCCTCCAGTGCAGAGACAGGACACACGTGTGCTCTTAATCCCTCTCCGTGTCCCCCATCCCGTGGGTCTCTCACTGCCCTGGGTGAGGAAGGGAGAGGTCAGAAGTGGCACTCGGTGCCAGGCTGGACACTGCTCTGGATAAACCTGGGCTCCTCCTGGCCACACCTCCACACCGGCCAGTGAAGACCAAAGAGCAGAGACCTGGGCAGGGCCAACTGACCCTTTTACCCCCAGAGGCACCCACCTCTGGGTACTTGGGGGAAAGGGCTGGGCAGCACGTTCAGGCTGGCACGGAGCCCAGACCCTGGCAGAGCTCCTGGGTCCTCAGGGTGCCCTCCATTCCTGGGTCCCGGAGGAGCGCCCCAACAGGTGTCTCCTCCCAGCATCAGGCTGGGCTGGACCTCAGGAGCCCACCTGCACCCCTCCTGGCGCCCCTGTCCCCCAATCTAGGCGCCACAGGGAGGGGGGTCGCACACCATCCTCCAGGGGAGGGCGGGACGCGCTGGCGCGTGCGAGGACGTCCTGGGCATGTTTTCCAGTTTACTCTGTGACTTCGCAGGAATTCTGGCTGGTTCTCCGGACAGAGGCCCCCGGGGTCAGAGCCCCCTCCCCCGGGATCCGACCTCGGGGGCTGGAGGAGCTGGCGGGGCGGCGAGGGCTGGGGTCAGGGTCCTGGCGGGAAGGCGGCGCGGGGCGCGGGGCGCTGGGCGGGCGGCCTAACGGGACCGGGGACGGGGCCGGGGCGCCGGGCCGGGGTCCCAGGGGAGCTCTGTACCTGCTCTGGCGGCCCCGGCGGCCCGTTAGCCCCTCTGCGCCCGGGCGCTCCCTGGAGGCGGCCCGGCTCGGCGGCGGCCACGGCGGCCCCTGCGCCCCGCTCCGGCCTCCGCCGCCGCCGCCGCGGCCCCGCCCCGCCCCGCCCCGCCCCGCCCGCCACGCGCCCCTCGGCGCCCCGCGTGGGGCGGGCCCCCGGCCCCCGGCGCCGAGGCCACCCGCTCGGGGCGGCGCGCCCGCGGCTCCGGGGCTGGAACGCGTGTGGTCCCGGCCGGTTTGGGGGCACCGGCGCCCCCGGCGCTGACCCGGGGCCCTGCGCGGGGCCGCCGGGACCGGGCGCTGCAGGACCCCGACCTCCGGCCGCGCCGAGCAGCCTGGGCCCAGGGGGGCTGTGCACCCCGGGCGGTGGCCCCGCGCGCGTCAAGGCCCGCTCCCCCCAGCCCCGTGCTGGCTGGCACCCACCCCCGGCTGGGTCGCCCCACGCCGTTCCCGTTCCGAGGGCTCCGGGGCTCTGTGAGCCGCGGTCTCTTCGCCCATAAAAGTTTCCTCTCGGGTGTTGCGGGAGGAACGCTGATTTGATCTGGATGTTAATCCCAGCTCCTGTGCTCAGGGTCTCGGGTGGAGACTCCAGTCACTCTGGGCTGCAGTGTCCTCATCGGTGCAAAGGCTGCTCTGATGTGTGGGACACACTGGAAATGTGTCTGCAGCCATGCACCTCCGGAATAATGCACCCCAAAGTCAGAATGAGATGCAGCGACACATGAGATGATGGGGTGCAGAGGTGGGGAGGGAAAAAAAAAACAGGTTTTCACTTTTAAAACGGTATGCTTTTGAATTTTTAACCGCAAGGGTTACCTGTGTTATATTTAAAAATAAATATTTGTTTAATATTTTATTTTAAATTATTTATTTAAACGAATAATATATAAAATGGCTGATAGAGAAGAGGTGATAAATGGTCACTACTATTTATTTATTTATTTATTTATTTATTTATTTATTTATTTTTAGGGGAGCAAATGAGCACAGCCCCCCCTCCTCCCACATTATGCTGTGGCGTTTCCCCCATTTGGGGAAATCTCGGGGGTCAGCACATGTGGAGAGTAATGGATAAGCCTCGCCCTGAGAAAGCCACCTTGGCGATCAATGTATCTCCCCTGCCAGTAAGTAGCGTCACTATCACTTAAAAATGTTTATTTGCCACTTACTCTTGAGCCATTGTGCCTCTTGGATCTACTAAAAAAGTATTTTCTTTTTAATTAATTTGAGAGAGAGATTTGTTATTCCACTATGTATGCTTTCATTGGTTGATTTAAAAAAATTTTTTAAAATATATTTTTATTGATTTCAGAGAGGAAGGGAGAGAGAGCGATAGACACACCAATGATGATGTTTTGGTCCTGTGTCCTAAAGAGCCCGGGAAAGAACAGGTTAACGTTCCCCTCCCAGGAGGGTGGTTTATCTGGGCTGCTGGTAATAGTCCTGACCCAGAGGCATATTTATAGTCTCGGGCTTGGAGCGGGAAGCCCCTTTGCTCAGACCTCAGAGTTCAAAGCAGACTATGAAAACGCCCAGCCACAGGGGCCAGGAAGGTATGTTAGGTCAGTGCTCCCCAGTCACACCCCGTCAGCATTCACTCATCTACAAGGAGGCGAGGGCCAGGACAGGAAGGTGGGCTGGAGACAGCGGAGCGGGGGGGGGGGGGGGGGGGGAAGGGGGGGGCGGGGGAGCGGGGGGGGGGGGCGAGCCTGGGAGGGTGGGAAAGGCCTGCCTTTGACATTTGTAGCTGCCCCGCACCGAAGGTCAGAAATAGCCCTTTCCATTAAGTAGTGGCTGCGGACCAAAGAGCTCAGGAGGCTTAATACAGCTGTCACCGCTGCTGACTTGGTGGTCCAAAAACATGGTATAAAGAAAAGAATTTGCGATGCCTCAGCAACCTGGGGAGTACCAGGAAAACTTGTGGACACTGCCTCAAAGATCAAAAAAGGCACTTCATAAAAGACTCTGTAAGAAGTAGATGTTCACCCAAAAGCATCTTTAGGGACAGGACCGATAAAGGATAGAGAGCAGGAGAAGACGGAGCATGTGTCTGGCTTTGAGCTTAGCAGAGTGATTTAACAACAATAATAAGGTATGGTTAACGTAGGACAGCACTTACTCTGTGTACAGTCCTCATCGTAACAGATCTGGAATCAAAGACCTAACTGAAAAATTCGGTAATCTGCCCCAAATCTCACAATTAGAAGCTACTAATGTGTAGATTGTATGCAAGTGAAATTTTTGAGAAATTTAGCTGAGTTCGTTTATTTACTTTTCTCTCTGCTAGTTGGCCAGTGACAACAAAGGAGGTTGTATTTGTGTTGAATTGAATAACATCGTAAACTAATGTTTCCTGTCAGGCATTGTTCCGGCCCCAAGAAAATACGGATGCTAACACCAGTGGGTCCAGGTGGGGCCAGAAATTGATGTAGGACTGTCTGTTTTGGGTCTGTGGTTATGGCAACCATTTTCAGAAAGCCTGGTGTTTGCCTTCCGGCCTCTTGGAATCACAGTTTGCTCAACTCCTTTGTCCCAGGAGAGTCACTCTATTCCCAATTGCTTCACACCAG